ACTGCCATCTATTTGAAATTATATTAAAAAGCTAGTTATCTAAACAAGAGATGATTGGCATTAACCAAGAAACCCAAACCAACAGACAGAATGAGGGAGCTCAAATCACAAACCCAAATTCCTGGATAGAGTACACATTTTGTAAAAGAACACCAAAAGACAGAACGAAGAAGGGAGAATCTGTTTAATTAATTGCTTTGAAAATTGGATATCCCTATGCAAAATAAAATAGGGCCCCTATTGTGTAACAGGCACAACAATCAACTCAAAATGAATTAGAGACTCATACACAAAACTTGAAAGCATCAAGTTCCTCCAATGGAAAGACAAACAATGTGGGTATATTTAGGTCAACGTGGATCTGTGTTCACAGTGTGCCAAAACCAAACAAAAAACACAGGGGGAAACTCATGGGTGATGGATTAGTTTGGTCATAATTTTGATTTTCTTCATCCATCACCTACATCACAGGAAACCAAGAAAACAGACACATGTGGGACTGCATCACACTCTAGAGTTTGTGCCCAAGCATATTAAAAAAACCATGAAGAAAATAAAAAATCATCCTGAAGTTTACAAGAAAGGTTTCAGCAAACATACATCTGATAAAAGGTTGCCTTCAAAATGCCTAAGCAACTAACACCACTTACTAGCAAAAACACAAAAATTATACTAAGGATACTTTCGGTGCAAAAGAAATCAGTCCATGTAAGAGCTATCTGCCATCGTATGTGGACTGCATCACTATTCGCAATTGCCAAGATAAAGAATAAACTTACCTGCCCATCCACAGGTGAAGGGATAAAGTAACTGTGGTGGATATACACAAATAGTTTTCAGCCAGTAAAGCAGAATGAAATTTCATCATTTGGAGCCATAATCTTGAACCTGGAGGACATCATGGCAAATGACCTAAACCAGGCAGAGAAAGAAAAACATTGCCACATCTCACTCATGTAGAATCCAAAATAAAAGGCTTTATTGCATAGATCTAGAGGGCACAATAGTGGTTACCAGAGGTTGGAGGGAAGAGGGGGCATGGGAAGGGATCATAAATAGGTAAAAAGTTACACTTAGATGAGAGGAATAAATTGTTCCTCTCTGTTCCACAGCACAGTGACTACAGATTAATAACACATCATACCTTTTTCACAAAATCTGAAAAAGATTCCAAATGTTTTCACCACAAAGAAATTAACAACTGTTTGTGATAATAGAAACTCTTGTAAATGCAAGATTTCAAATGTTTCGCCACAAAGAAATTAACAACTGTTTGTGATAGTACTCTAAATATCCTGATTTTATCATTCCTCTGTGTCTGTATTAACCAAAATGCCCCAATCTAACTCCCCACATTGTACACCTTTGCTATATGGCCAACCTTTTAAAAAAATATGTAAACACACAATGCTAAAATTCATGTGGACAGCCTGAATTTCCAAAGCAATTCTGAGAAATCCAAACGACGTTGGCTGTGTCACACTTCCCAATTTTAAATTTCATTGAAAAGCTAGGGACCCCCTTCCACACAGAGCAGTGGAACAGATTAGAGGATCCAGACGTAAACTCACACGCCTAACACCATCTGATCTTCAACAAAATCCACAAAAATAAGCTTTGGAGAATGGACTTCCTCCTCTCAATAGATGGTGCTGGGATAAATGGCTAGCCAGTTGCAGAAGAAAAACAGTGGGGCCCTGTGTCTCACTGTGTACAGAAATTAACTCAAGTAAATGAAATATGTAAATGCAAGACCTCAAACTATGAAAAGCCTGCAAGGGAACCTAGGAAGTACCCTTCTTGGCAGAGGATTTGGCACAGCATGAATATGCCTAAGTCCCCAAAAGCAAGTGTAACTAAAATAATTATTGACAAGTAGGGCCTAATATACAAAAGAGTGGCTGCACAGCAGAAGAGATTAACAACAGAGTAAATAGACAGCTTACATAATGGGAGAAAATGTTCCCACGTATGCATCTGATGAAGTCTAATATCCAGGATCTACCTCAAACATGTTAAGCAAGTAAATCAGCAAAACAAAAACTCAATGAAGAAAGTTCAAGAGGCGTGAAAACACACATCTCAAAAGAAGGTTTACAGCAACCAACAGACAGGATAACATTTTTCTAACTTAGTAATCATCAGAGAAATACAAGCAAAAGGCCCATGAGATAGTATTTCACACCAGTCAGAATGGCAGTTATGACACAGTCCACAAGAATGACTGCCAGTGAGGCAGAGGAGGAGAGGAATGCTGGTCTGCTGTTGGTGGAAATGCAAACTACTTTGGACACCATGGAAAGCAATGTGGGGATTTCTCAAATAACTTTCTTGACATCACTAATACAAAAATGCCCAAGAAAACCACACTAAGATTCTGCCTCATTCCACTCAGAATGACTACTACCAAAAACAAACAAAACACAAATTTTTGAAGGTGACAGCCAGTGTATACTTACAGAAGGGTAACCTCTTAAACACAATTGGTGGGGATGTAAATTAGTATACACACTATGAGAAACAGCTAGAGGTTCCTGAAAAAATTCACAGCACAACTACCATGTCAGCAAGCAGCCCCCACCACTGGTTCCACATTTGAAGCAGCTGAAATTCCTAGGTTGAAGAGAGCTATCTGCCTTCCCATGGGTACCAAAGCACTCGTAACTGTCACCAAGGTACAAAACAAACCTATCTTTCCATATGCGGCTGCTGGAATGAAGAAATTGCCATATAGATACACTACAGAATATGTTTCAGCCATAAAGCTTTGGGAAATCCTGCCATCAGCAGCCACATGAAGAAATCTGGAGAACATCAGATCCAATGAATGAGCCTGGTAGAGAAAGTTCCATGCCACGTGATCTCAGGCATGTATACTGAAAAAAGCTTTATCTCCTAGAAGTAGAAAGTTCAATAGGGATGACCAGAGGCTGCTGGGGAGGTGGAGGCGGTCCGGGGAGGAATCAGTAATGGGTACAAAGTTACTCTCCGATTAGAGTAATCAATTCTGGTCTTCTATTCCATAGCAAGATGACTAGCCTTAACACAAATGTATCATATATTTCAAAGTAGCTAGAAGAAAAGATTCTGAATGTTGTCACCACTCAAAAAATAATAACTATATGAGGTGAAGAGATGCTAAATAACCTGATTTTATCATTACTCAACATATACATGTATCAAAATCTTCCTGGTACCCTCTAGTTATATACATTTAGCATATGGCAGATAGTAAGGCGAACATCACACACCAGGGCCTATTGTGGGGAAGGGGGGAGGGATAGCATTAGGAGATATACTTAATGTAAATGACGAGTTAATGGGTGCAGCACACCAACACGGCACATGTATACATATGTAACAAACCTGCACGTTGTGCACATGTACCCTAGAACTTAAAGTATAATAATAAAACAAAAAGAAATATTTAAAAAATGCCAAAATTTATGTGGAAATGTGAAACACCAAGAATTTCCAAAGCTATCCATGAGAAATACAAACCATATGGGATGCATCACATTCCCTGAGTTCTAATTAAGTGAAAATCCCTAGTTAACCAACTCATATGTAACTGGCATACACGGAGAAACAGACCAGTGAGCAAAATGAGGGCGCTCAATAATAAACACAAATTTCTAAAGAGTGAACACATTTTTCAAAACACCACCAAAATGACACAATGGGGAAGGGTTCCAAAACTAGATATTCATTTTCAAAATAATAATACTGGACTCTTATGGTACTAAATACACAATAATCAACTCAAAAGAATTAAAGATTATACACAAAACTTGCAACCATAAAGTTCCTATGAAGACAATCTCAGGTGTGTGTATATTTAGGGCAACTTGGATATATGCTCATGGTTTGCAAAAAGTAACAAAAATACAAGGGAAAAAATCATTGACAGTGGACAGTTTTGGTAGGGATTATGTTTTTCCTTGATTAGTAACCAACAGCATAGCTAATCAAGAAATTGTACACATGTGGGACCACACCAAACTGAAAAGTTTTTGCCCAACAAAGGAAACAATGGACACAATGAAAAAGCATACTGAAAAATACAAGAGACGTAGTTTGGGCAAACATATCTTGGATAAGGGGTTATTTTTGAAAACGTACAAGTCAGTAATACTACCAGCTGGCACAAAACAAACAAACAAACATAAAAATAACCAGACCAAAATTGGGCAAATAATCTGAGAAGATATTTGCACAAAGACAGGAAACTGACCCAACATTTACAAAAATGTGGTTAACATTACTACTCATGATAAAAATGTAGATCAAAACCACACTCAGATCTTATCTCACTCCAACTAGAAGGAACATTATGAAAATATTAAAATATTTAAAAAGACAATTCCTGGTATCAATTTCCAGAAAGGGGAACTGTTTGTGGAAATGTAAATTAGTACTAATACTACAAAAAAAAAGTTGGGGGCCCTGCAAAGAATAGAAAAAAAAAAAGAAATTCCATACCATCTAGCATTCCCACTACTGGGTATATGTTCAACCTACCTGTTCATCCACAGATAAAGGGATCAAGAAACTCTTGTATACATACATGAGGGAATATTCTTGGCCATCAAAATAATGAAACAGTGTCATTTAGAGCACTCCAGACGAACCTGGAAAACATTATGTTAAATGTAATGAGCTAGGCCTAGAAAGACAAACACTGCATGATACCACTCATGAAATCTTAAGATGTTTATCTTGAAGTAGAAAGCACAATACTGGTTACCAGAGTCTGGGAGATAGAGGGGGAATGGGAAAGGATTGGTTATGGAAACAAAGTTATCTTAACATTAAAGGAATACATCTGCGTTCTCCTCCTCAGCCTGGTGACTGGAGTTAATAATACTGTATTTTTCTAAAAAAGCAAGAGGGAGAATTTTGAGTGTTCTCTCCATAAAAAAAAAAAAAACCTATATTGAGGGAATAGAGATCCTAAGTACCCTGATTTGATCATTACCCAACCTATCTGTATGAAACTGTACCCTTAACTATGGACCTTTATGTTGTGAAAAAAAGTTAACAGAAATAAATACATATTGCTAAAAATCACAGGGAACCACAAAAGTAATGAATATCTAAAGGAATTCTGAGAAATACAATCAAAGTGAGGACCCACAATCATCGATATCAAATTAAACTGCTGCCAAGTTGTAGTTACGCAGCAGATATATGTTACTTGCATAAAATCAAATACCTAGAACTGTGGACAAAAACAGGGAGGAGAAAAAAACGATCAACACAAATATGGACATAGTCAACTGACTTTGATAAAGAACACCACAATGTGGAAGGGAGAGTCTGCTCAATGAATACCTTTAAGAAAAATGATATCC